AGAGAGGAGCTTATAATTTAGCTGCCTCCGGCCCTTCCACTTCTACCCCTGGGTTAGGCTCAGATGTCTACAAAAGTATGATCACCTACCCTGTAACAGGCAGACGAGCCGGGAGCAGACTTGCCACACCACCATGGCAGGCTCCACAGAGGCACATAGGGAGGTAGGAAACAAACGTGAGGAGCTCAGTAATGGGTGGGACATGCAGACCAAACTGTCAGTGGCCACAGTCCACGGCCTTCCTTTAGTCTCAGGTTATTCTCTGCAGTTACAGATGGAGAATGGGGGCAGAGGAAAAGAAAAGTTAAGTCACTTGTTGAAGGTTGCTCCCGTTCCCTCCCCATGTAGGCATTCAGCAAACTGAGCTTCTTTTTAATCTTTCTTCCCCTGCCCCTGAAACAAGATTTGCTTGTATAGCCCTGGCTGTCCTGAAACTAGATCTGGAGACCAGGCTGACCTCAAACTCACAGAGATCCACCTGCCTCTGCCTCCTGAGTGCTGGGATCAACGGCGTGTGCCATCATCACCCAGATCAAACTTCTTTGGGGAAGACGGTATTGAATTTATTTATTGTGCATGTGTGTGTAAGCATGTGGAACAATCCAAGAGTCAATCTTCTCCATCTACCATGTGAATTCTGGGAATTGAATTCATGTCATCAGGCTTGGTGACAAATACCTTTACCTGTTAAGCCGTCTCACTGACCCCAAATCTTAGCTTTGTTAGCAGACACCACCAATGTCATATATAATAGATTCAACCTGTGCTGCCGTCTTCCACCCTCTTCTGTAGCAGCTCCACCCAAGAACATCTGTCGCATCTGTCCACAGAAAGCACTTGACACAGTTTCTCTACTTCTCCATCTTTTCTTTCCATGTGTATATCAAGCATTCAATGGATCTCCAGAGTATCCTTGGTGCAGAGGCTGGCCCAGTGGTTGTGCTCATTCCTGGTGTGTGGCAGGCACCATGGGATGGTGGTACTTTGTACCTAGCTATTCTAGGTTCTACACAGGAAAGACCCCATTTTCAGATTTTGAGAGCTCCTAGAAGAAAGATACTGGGACCAGTAAGAAGGCTTAGTAGGTAAAGGTGACTGTCACAAAGGCTTACAACTGTGTTTGGTCCTGGGGACTCACATGGTGGAAGAAGAGAACCAACTCCCAAAAATTGTCCTCTGACTCCCACACATATTCCATGTCCCAGGCATCCCTCCCCCAACAGATGCACAAAATAAAGAAGTATAAAAATAGTCTTTTCTTAACATTTATTTTCATTTATTTTATGATGAGTTTATTCCTGTATCGTAACTTTTGTTTCTTCGGTTTCTTCTGGGATCCTTTTCTTCTGTGCACCCTCCTCTTCTGGCCTTGGAGCAATTTGTTCCTTTTCAATGAAGATCATCTTGATGTGGCAGAGGCAGCTCAGGTATGGGCTAATCAGGCCACGAGTTCATAAGCACATCTTGGGTGCTTTGTTCATTGGTTGTGTTCATGACTAGAGAATCTGCCTCCAAGCCCTTCAGCTCAGCAATGCTCTCTGCATTTCTAATCATGTGCATCAAGAAGTCAGCACTCTCCTTTTGGTCACCAACCCGGTGTCCAGCTCCACGGCTTGGCCTGGGCGCCCCTGCTAGCTCCACCGCAGTGCCTCTTCAAAGTGACATCCCTCCAATACTTGGTGGCACTTCCGACATGCACACCTTTGGTGGTCCAGGCTGTTTCATGGGTGTTCTTAAAGGGAATGAAAATAGATGAACCGTTTGATTTGCATGATTTTTCTTGGTGGAGAAAGTGGCCAGCCATCTTCACAGGTCACCTCAGGTCACTTCCAGGAAGAGCAAATACCAATTTATTTCAAGAGTGACACAGAAAGAAATTTCCGTCATGAGGTATGGGTTAAAAAGAGACATTTACACACCCATGAGCATTTGTGGTATCTTGTGAGGAGCACTGTACCAAAGGGATATGCAAGAAGTTTTGGGGAATACTGGAGGGAATCTTCAAATGGGTTTTAGGAAGTTAGGAAAGCTTTCTCAAGTAGTAAAATGGCCAGATAGAATCCTCAAGGGATGCAAAAAAAAAAGGCAGTTTGTGGAAACCAAAGACACAAGATCAGGTTACATTCAGGAAATCGCCTGATAATACAGTTTGGGACAGTCGGGATGAAGAGCACAGGAGACAGGAAGAGGCAGTGATGGGACCACCGCGGTTACCTAGGCACCAAGCTATAGAAGACCTTGAGTAAGAAATTGGATTTAATAAAATGGTACTTGAGAGTTTAAACAAGGAAGTGAGGGGTTTGTTATTTAGACTCTGCCTATGGAGATGGGAGAAAGAGGACAAGTTCACAAGCAGAGAGACTATAAGGAGATGGACAATTACCCAAAAGCCTCCTGGTGACAACCTGGACCTGACAGCTCTTTTTTTTTAAAAGATTTATTTATTTATTTGTTTGTTTATTTATTTATTTATTATGTATACAATATTCTGCATCCATGTATGCCCACATGCCAGAAGAAGGCACCAGATCTCATTACAGATGGTTGTGAGCCACCATGTAGTTGCTGGGAATTGAACTCAGGACCTCTGGAAGAGTAGCCAGTGTTCTTAACCACTGAGCCATCTCTCCAGCTCTGACAGCTCTTTGTACTAGACCAGTAGGAGAGGTTTAAAGAATCTAGATGTGGCCATGGTTGAAACTAGAAGGGACCATCATCCTTTGAGACATGACTGTTGCGCCTTGTAGAGGGAGAGGTGGAGAGCTCATCAACTCCCTGCCATTCACAGGTCCTCTCCATCTGCTTCCCTTCCTCAGGTTAGCGAGTGATGGATAATAACTCAAAAAAAAAAAAGAAAAAAGAAAAACTCTCTGATGAGAACTGACAGGGAGGCCACTGTCCTTTATACTGGGGTATTATCTCCTCAGTCTCCTCCCCTGGTGAGTGACGTGGCAGCTCTTCTAACTATGCAGTCCCAATCTTCCTTGACTCATCTTCAAAGCACTGTTCATCCTTCGGCATCATCCAGGTGCCGTAAGGGCAAGGCCTTTGTCTATTCAGTACCGCATGCCTGGCACCCAGAGTCAAGACGGATGCATAAGCAGTGTGCAATTACTATTTATTGAATGAACAAATGAGAACCTCTGTGTCTAGCTAAGGAGGGTAACCCTTGCTGGTACCTCAAAGAAATCACTACCTCTGCTCATGCATCCAGATGGCATGGCCATGAGCAATGGAGTGATCAGTCGCTCTGAATCACAGCGACACGGTACAAAGCCATCGCTCTTTTGGTGGGTTTGTCCCATTGTCCCATCCTTGACAGGATGTCCCTTCTGCAGCTGTGAGTTTGTACTGGGGACTGAAGAGTTCGTTTTTAAGAGGCCAGTTATACATAAAAAGTAACTGGGAAAACAGAGTCTGAAGTGGGAACAGGGCAAAGTCAAATCTCACATCCTCTAAATGCAAGGTATACTGCTCCCAATGCTTTTTATAATAAAACCCCAAACTGAAAACACAATTGCAAAAGTAAAAATAAATACCGTTCTCTCAGTGCAAGAGTGGATTTTATTGTAATCCGTGTGTTACTTAAAATCGCTCTAAACAAGGGGTTGAATCCACTGCCATTTGAGTTTTAACTTCCCTGCTAGGCTTGTGCAGTACATGCGCCCTTCCCTTCCTCTGAGTAGAGTAACTGCAGCTGGGCCCAGGACAGAAAAACAAAACAAAACAAAATAAATAAAACCTTGCCCCCTAGGAGGAAGCCAAGACCTGAACATGAGGCTGAGGTGAATCTGAAGTGGACAAACATCCTCACTACACACTCACATGGTCCGGCCACACAAACCCCTGACATTCACAACCAACCTGGGACGGGTTTATAATGCCAGCTACATGGAAGGCTGAGGTAGGAGAATTACAAGTTTAAGGACTGCCAGGACAACTTAGTGGGACCCTGTTTCACAATTTAAAAAAAATGAAAGGGGGTTCTGGGGATGCAGCCCAGTCGTCGAGGTTTTGCCTAGCTTGAAAATGAAGCGCTAACTTCAATCTCTAGCATTGAAAAAAGGTAAATTAATTAAAATAAAAAACACCAAGATTCTTTTACCAAAGCCTCCTCCTCTGACTTTGCCCCAAGATTCAAGCCAAGCCAGAAATCCCCCCAAAATCATTTTAGAATCACAATACAGAAAGAAAGCATGCATCCTGAGCAGGATTAAATACAGTGAAATTAGCATTTACCTTGCTGCTTTTAGAAACATGGCCTTTGGGCATTCCAGATTCTAGAGCTGATGGGTACCGCAGCTAATGGTGACTCCCAGGTATTGGTTAAAAACTCCCTAAATGATTCTCATACTGCATGCAGGGGCTTCTGTCTACAGTCTACCCAAACCTCCACCTTCCATGTAGATAATCACATGTGTTCGTGTTAAAAAGCACAGGTCCCCAGGCCACACCCCTACAGCATCCCTTATGTCAGAGAGGGCTCCAGAATCTACAGTTCTAACCAGCCTCCCAGAACTGGTGCAGGAGATCAGCAAATGATACTGTGCTGTGTACAAACTGTACTGTGCGATCTCTAGGTGGATGTAGGAGTAAATCTTCCTGGGGGGGCTTGGAGGGCTGAAGGAAGAGCCAGGAAGACTGATAGGGTAGCCAGCATGCTTGAATTTATTAAAAGGTTGACAAAGTTTCAGAGAAGAACGCTGGGGTGGGGACCAACAGGCCCAAAGAGTAAGAGAATGTCTCATAGCTGCAAGGCATTTGACTTCATGCAAGCATTGAACCTGGCGACCATCACCTCATTGGAACTCAGCTTTAATTTTCTGCCAGGAAATGGCTCTTTGGTCCTGAGTGCCTTACACACCAGGACAAGCTCTCCTCTCAGAAAGAGCATGAGAGGCAGGTCTTGGAGGTATGAAGGAGTCAGGAAATGAGGAGGTCTCCATCTGAATAGGCCGAGGCTGTCCCCAACACTGCCTCAGGTATAGAGGGGAGGGTCTTCATTTCGTTTCACAAACAGGTGTGGGCTGACAGCACACTGGACCACAGCATCCGGTGCCACAGCATCCGGAGCCACAGCAGCTGCCTCCGCATCCCCCGCAGCCTCCACAACCTCCGCAGCCTCCGCAGCCTCCGCAGCCCCCACAGCCAGATCCACAGCAGCTAGACCCACAGCAGCCAGATCCGCAGCCAGAGCCTCCACAGCCAGAGCCTCCACAGCCAGAGCCTCCACAGCCACAGCAGGAGCCACAGCAGGAGCCACAGCAGCCACAGCAGCCCTGCTGGCAGCAACACTCCTCACAGCAGTCTTGTTCCTGGGAGCAGCAGTTGAAGCAGTCTCCCGGGCAGCACCCCATGGTCCCAGCCGGTCAGGTCGCAGGTCAGGAACGCGGCCGAGCTTCCCCTAGGTGTGACAGTGGCCAGCTGGACAGCAGCTTTTATATCTCCTCACCCAGGGGTGTTGGCACGGGGGACAGGATGTTTGCTTTGTTATTATTTATGCTGGTTTCCATAAGAACGTCTCATTAGCTGCCTGTTTATTTTCCAGACGTGAGTACCTCAACTCATAAAAAAGCCCCACTCGACCCAACTGCTATTTGTCCAGAGGGTAAAAATACATCTGGGAAAAGACCTGTCATTAGCCAGGTTGGGGAGAGGAAGGAGAAGCTGGCCAAGAATCTGCTCTGCCTCCTCTCCCGAATCTTCTCCGGTGGCAAAAAGGAGACTCCTCTGACTGGCCATGCAGCCTGTTTCCATGGATGCTGGCCGTAAAGAACTAGAAAACTAAGAATGAATGAGTCTTTTGCCCACACGGAGGCTGCAGCTGAGGGCCTGATGCTGAGGCTCCTCCCCAGTAGAATGGCGTTCTCTCCCCAGCCATGTGAGAAAAGCAAATATTTGTGTCTGTGTGAGGTATGTGGCTGTGTGCTGCACGTTTGTTTAGACTTGGCAGGTGAGCATCAATCATGAGTAATAACTGACTTGTGAAATGCAGATAGACTCTCCATAAAACTGAAAAAGGCTGGGGAGCCACATTCTCTTAAGGCTGCGATGAACTGAAAATTTACACTTCTCTACACAGGCAGGAAGAGCTCCGGGCAGTACCTGTTACCCCCAGCCCCAAGCTGTTCTGGAATAGAAGATGAAGATGAAGAAGGAAAGGAGGCAAGGAGAGAAAACAAAGGAATGGAGTGAGGAAAGATAATGAGGAGGGAGGGAAGGAAGAAGGGGAAGGGGGAAATGAGAAAGGGAAAAGGAAATGGAAGGAAGGAGAGAGGGAGGGAAGAAGGAGGGAGGGAAGGAGGAAGGGGAAGGGGGAAATGAGAAAGGGAAAAGGAAATGGAAGGAAGGAGAGAGGGAGGGAAGAAGGAGGGAGGGAAGGAGAAAAGAAGGGAGGGAGATAAGGAGGGAAGGAGAGGAAGAGAGGAGGGAGAAGAAGGGAGGGAAGGAAGAAGCAAGAGAGAAAGAAGGGGTGTGGGAATGACTAAAAGAAGAGAGAAAAGAAGAAGGAGGGAAGGAAGGAAAAAGAGAGAAGGAAGCAAAGGAAGAAAAATGGGAAGGGAGAGGTGGAAATGAAATAAGGAGAGAGAATGAGGAAGAGAAAAAAGAGAAAGTAACAGAAGGGACATGAGGGAGGAAGAAAAGGGGAGGAAAGGGGAAAAAGGAAGGAAGAAAAGGAGAAGGGAGGGAGCAAGGGAGGGGGGAAGGAGAGTCACTGAAAATCAAAACATTTCATTAAAATGGGAACATTGAAGGTCTGGAGAGATGGCTCAGCACTTAAGAATACTAGACTGAAAATTTCATGCTGTCATTGTTTCTAACTGTTGGATAATACTCCATTGTGCAAATGCATCACATTTTCATTATCCACACCTCAGTTGATGGACATCTAGGCTGTTTCCAGGTTCTGGTTATTACAAATAAAGCTGCTATGAACATATATCCTTGTAGTATAATTGAGCAAACTTTGGGTACATGCCCAAGAGTCTGGATCTTGTGGTAGAATGATTCCTAGTTTTCTGAGATATTGATATCCAAAGCAGCTGTACAAGTTTATGCTCCCACCTGCTTTTTTTTCTTTGCTATTTTGGGGGCTCACTACCCAGCTCCCAACTAAATCACACAATCACACACAGGCTTATTCTTTCTTATGAATGACCGACCAGTCTTAGCTTGGCTTGTTTCTAGTCAACTTTTCTTAACTTAAATTATCCCATCTACCTTTTGCCTCTGAGCTTGTATCTTTTTCTAGTCTATATACCTTTCTTTACTTCTTACTCCATTGTGTAGCTGAATGACAGGGCTCTGGTGTCCTCCTCGCCTTCCTTTCTTGCTCCTTTTCCTCTTTTCTCAGATTTCTCCTCCTGTTTATTCCCTCTGCCTGTCAGCCCTACCTATCCTTTCTCCTGGCTGGCTATTGGCTGCTCAGCTCTTTATTAGACCAACCAGGTGTTTTAGACAGGCAAAGTAACGCAGCTTCACAGAGTTAAACAAATGCAATATAAAAGAATGCACCACATCTTTGCATCATTAAAATAAATATTCCACAACACAAACAAATGTAACACATATTAAAATAACATTCCAGCCAAGCGATGGTGGCGCACGCCTTTAATCCCAGCACTCGGGAGGCAGAGGCAGGCGGATCTCTGTGAGTTCAAGACCAGTCTGGTCTACAGAGCTAGTTCCAGGACAGGCTCCAAATCCACAGAAAAACCCTGTCTCGAAAAAAACAAAAATAAATAAATAAAATAAAATAACATTCCAAAAGACCCACCAGCAATGGAGGAATGCTGCCCTTGCTCCAGCAAGAGCTGTCACTTGTGGTTTTGATCTTAGCTATTCTAACAGGTGTAAGATGGAATCTCAGAGTCATTTTGATTTGCATTCCTCTGATGGCTAAGGATGTTGAACATTTCTTTAAATGTTTCTCAGTCATTTGAGATTCCTCTGTTGAGAATTCTCTTTAGATCCAATCTTGAGTGAGGTAACTCAGACCCAGAAAGAAAACACGGCATGTCCTCACTCATGACTGGATATCAGCTGTAAAATAAAGGACAATTATGCTACAATCTACATACCCAGAGAGACTAGGTAACAAGGACGGTTCAAGGGCAGGTGCCCAATCTCCCTGGGAAGGGGAAATAGAAGCGATTTCGTGTGCAGACTGTGGGCAGATAGGGATGGGAACATGAGCAATCAGGTTGGGGGTGCAGAAGGGGAGAGTATTGAAAGAGACTCCTTGAAGATGAGGCATTCCAGGGTCAGGGAAACCTGGCACAAAGGAATCTCCTGGGAATCTACAAGGATGACCCCAGACACTCAGTCTGAACTCGCCATCTCCTGTAACTAGACAAGACTTTCAGTGAAGGGAGTGGGAAACCAACCCAGCCCACATAACCTTCAACCTACAGTCTGTCCTGCCTAAGGGGTGTGCTGGGATAAGGGTGGCCTTAAAATTGAGGGAGTGATCAACTAGTCTAGCCTAAAACCCATGCCAAGAGAATAAGACCACCCCTAACACTGCCTGAGGGATGTGGACCCACAGACTGAATGACCCAGAGACCTTAAATATAACCAAACACGACTGGAGGGAAAAAAATCAATGAAATGATTCCTAATCATATTCTGCTATACTCATTGATTGGTGCCTAGCCCAACTGTCATCAGTGAGGCTTCATCCAGGGAACAGATGCAGAAACCCACAGCCAAACGTTAGGCGGAGCTTGGAGAATACTGCGAAAGAGGGGGAGGAAGGATCTTAGGATCCAGTGGTGTCAGGGCACCATAAGAAAACCCACAGAACCAACTAACCTGGGCTCATAGGGGTTCACAGAGACTGAATTGACAACCTGGGAGCCTGCATGGGACTGACCTATGCCCTCTGCATTTATGTGACAGTTGTGTAGCTTGGTCTTCTTGTGGGGCTCCTAACAATAGGAGCAGGACTTGTCGCTGACTCTTGCTGGCTTTAGGGACCCTATTCCTCATACTGGGTCACCTTGTTCAGCCTTAATACATGGGGAGATGCTTAGTCTTACTGCAACTTGATATGCCATGTTTTGTGTATATCCATGGGAGACTTGCCCTTTCCTGAACAGAAATGGAGGAGTAGGTTGTGAGGTGGGAAAGGGGAGGGATGGAAGGAGAAGAAAGAGGAAAAACTGCAGCTGGGATGTAAAATAGATAAATAAATCAGTAAGTAAATAAGTAACACTGGTTGTTGTGACAGAGAATCCAGCTTTAGTTCCCAGCACCCATATGGCAGCTCACAACCATCTGCAATTCCAGTTCCAGAGGATTCAATACCCTCTTCTGACCTCCGTGGGCACCTGACACATGAGCAATGCACAGACATACATGCAGACCAAACACCCATATACATAAAATAAATACATCTATAAAAATAAAATAGCAATGTGAAATAAGTGGAAAGATCCAACACAGATATAGATTTCGTGTGGTTATACAGCTTCTAGGCAACCAACTTCAGATAAAATCTTCCCTGGGGTCTTATGACTTCTCATAGTTTTCCTTACTGAATTAAACTCCTAACTTGATCGAATGCTTAGTTTCAAGGGGAAAAATAGAGGAAACTATGAAGAACGTCTGCCAGGATGTGGCTAGTTTGGGGCATCCCAGTGTAATATCAGGGAATCAAATGTTTTGAGAAGAGATGAGAATCCACAGATTAGACTCCAAGTACAGGTTCTGAAATGTGTGACCATTCCTGTCTCCACTAGGGATGATAATGGCAGCCCCGGAGCCAGGAGTCTCCACTCTCAGGAGAATAAGGAAATAGGGGTAGAGACAAGAAGGGGTAGGCCAATGGGTCTGAAAAATCATGGGATAGTGTTTTCTATTTCCATCCATTTGCATGCAAAATTCGAGAAGTCATTGTTTTTTACCGCTGAGTAATACTCTAATGTGTATATATTCTACACTTTCTTCATCCATTCTTCCATTGAAGGACATCTAGGTTGTTTCCAGGTTCTGGCTATTACAAATAATGCTGCTATGAACATAGTTGAACAAATGCCCTTGTCATATGATCGGGCATCTCTTGGGTATATTCCCAAGAGTGGCATTGCTGGGTCCAGGGATAGGTTGATCCCGAATTTCCTGAGAAACCGCCACACTGCTTTCCAAAGTGGTTGAACAAGTTTGCATTCCCACCAGCAATGGATGAGTGTACCCCTTCCTCCACAACCTCTCCAGCAAAGGCTATCATTGGTGTTTTTGATTTTAGCCATTTTGACAGGTGTAAGATGATATCTCAAAGTTGTTTTGATTTGCATTTCCCTGATTGCTAAGGAGGTTGAGCATGACCTTAAGTGTCTTTTGGCCATTTGAACTT